AGATCAGATAAACATTTTCATCCCCTCCAGGATCACTATGCAGTTATTCTGAAAATAAACCTTAGAACTGCATTGAAACATGTATATTATCTAGGGTGAAACAGGTCACCAGCCCAGGTTGGGTGCATGAGACAAGTGCTCGGGCCTGGTGCACTGGGAAGACCCAGAGGGATCGGGTGGAGAGGGAGGTGGGAGGGGGGACCGGGATGGGGAATACATGTAAATCCATGGCTAATTCATTTCAATGTATGACAAAAACTACTGTAATGATGTAAAGTAATTAGCCTCCAACTAATAAAAATAAATGGAAAAAAAAAAACCTTAGAACTACCCTGTACCACAAACTCCCACTCCTGTTTCTTATCTTTTTAAAAAATCTTCACCTGGAGGCAGAGTGTGGGCAGAATAATGCCTTGTTCCTCACACACTCCCCCACCCCATGTCCTCATCCCAGTGCTTGCAACCTATGAATATGTTACTTCACACAGAAAAAGAGACCTTGAAGATGTGATTATGGTTGGGGATCTTAAAATAGGGAAATTATCCGGGATTATCTGGGTGGGCTTCATTCTATCACAGTAGTCCTTAGACGTGAGAAATCTTCTTGGCTGTGTTAGAGAGAAGAAAGGGAAGAAGCAGAGATTGGAAGGGTAAGGGAGACTCAGTCTACCATTCCTGGCTTTGAACGGAGAGGTCTCTGGAACAGCCCTCAGCTGACAGTCAACAAGGATTCAGGGATCACAGTCCTACAACAGCAAGGAACTAAATTCTGTCAACAATCCAAATGAGGAAGGAAACAAGTGCCACCTTAGTGCCTCTAGAAAGGAACGCAGCCTGTGGACACCAGGATTTTAGCCCCATGAGAACATGTCAGACTTTTAGAGAACCATAAGATAATACATCTGTGGTGTTTAAACTGCTAAGTTTGTGGTAATTGGTTACAGCAACAATAAAAAATGAATACAAGACATAAGCCACCATCTGAGATCTAATTACTCTTTGCCTGTCCCAGTTCACTTTAGAAACGAGGATGCAGGCAGGCCAAGGGAAGTGAGTCGGCTTTTGTTGTTGCTATTATTTGCTTCTTTTCTCATCTGTTTGCCTGACCAGCCCTGCCTGCCTCTGGAGTGAGTGCTTGCATCTTCTTTCCTGTGTGAAATTCCTCCAGAATGAGTGGGCCAGCAGGTTGTGGACTGATCAGTATCTGAGCTAATAAAGAAAGCAGTTTCTCCTCAGTGAATCACAGAATGTTGGAACTAGTTAGGGGACAATCCTACTTAGTGAAGTAAACAGATGCCCAGTTAAAACGATTTCCTTGGGGGAATACCCGGTGAGCTATTTCAGACCTGGGACCCTGAAACCAGTTTTTTGGCTTTCAGTTTGGATCACAGTTTCCATCACACTGGTGATTCAAAGAATCAGTCCTGGATGTGCATAAAATCATGAGGGAGCTTTTAGGAAAAAACAGGGATGCCAGGTCCCCACCCAGGGGATTCTGATTCAATTGGTCAGCAGCAGGGCCTAAATCAGTATTATTTCTTAAAAGCGCTCCTGTTCTAACGTGCTTTACATCAGGCCTCTGAATTTTGGCCCCATCTCAGTGCACACTGAATTCTACTAAAAGGTCCAGATGAATGATAATTAATGTCCAATGTAAGAAAGAGACCAGTACCAGTGTTATTCCTGGTTACATAGGGTTTCGCTAGATACATAGCAAAAGCAAAATGCTTAGTTGAATTTCCACATGTTCTTCTCTAAAAGAAGTTCTCTTTTTCCCTGTGCTCATTTACCTTGTGAGAGAAGACCTTCTGCCACCTAGAATGTTTGACAGCTGACTCCATTTCCTGCCTGGGATCCTACGCTGTCACTGTATACTATTCCTCTCCACGTCTCCCGGAAGTAAACCCCCTCCTCGAACCTCAGTCCCAGGGGCCGACAGCCCTCTCCTGGTCACCTATGGCCAACAGAGGACCTCCCCACACTGTGCTGGGCCTGCAGCCAGCCCTCGTCCTCCTCCCCAGAAGGTCTGCTACTGAAACTTGGCCCATGCCAAGATCAGGTTGTTGGTGTCCACCAAAGTGGTGCTTGTACACAGAAAGAGATTATTAGCAGACACTTTGATTTTGAAGATTAACATTTGGTTTATCAAAGTTAAATTTTAAAGCCCAGTATTTCGAGTATAAATCTTGATATTCTAGTTATTAATCAAGCAAAATTCAACAATCATTTTCAAGATGTGCTTTCACAAATTAATTAAATGCCCTTAAAATGGCAACCCACTCCAATGTTCTTGCCTGGAGAGTCCCAGGGACAGCAGAGCCTGATGGGCTGCCGTCTATGGGGTCACACACAGTTGGACACGACTGAAGCGACTTAGCAGCAGCAGCAAATAGCATAAAACTGACTTTGTAGATTTAGTATATTTTACTTTTAATTTTTTTTCTATTAATGAGACCTTTCATTTGGCTCTCAAGTCACTATAATATAATGCCAATTCATCATATCTTTTGAACCTAATAGAATTATGTTGTAAACTTTTGCACTTTATTGCTTGAATTGAGCAAATTCTGTCAACTCTTCGGCAAGGCCATAACTCACACATTTTTAAGTAGCCTCCTTTGGATCCTACACGGCTCTCCTGGTTTTGCTTGACTCTGTAGTCTTTAGACTCTGTGCTACTGACCACCCCACCACCATAGGCTAACAGCACCCACACCAATGCCTTGCCTTGTACTCAGTTTTTGACCCTCCTTTAGTGTTAGTTGCTCAGTCATGTCTGACTCTTTGTGACCCCATGCACTGTAGCCCACCAGGTTCCTCTGTCCATGGGATTTTCCGGGCAAGAATACTGGAGTGGGTTGCCATTTCCTTCACCAGTGGATCTTCATGACCAACGGATTGAACCCAGGTCACCCACATTGCAGGCAGATTCTTCACTGTCTGAGCCACCAGGCTGGTGGAAACACCCCTTCCTACACCAAGTTCCAGTGCTGGGACCCGACCTCTGAATGTTACTCTTCTTTCTCTTTCTTTATTGCACTCTCCCTGTTCTTTACCCACACATCAAGTCTCATCTCAGATCCCACCTGCCTTCACCACAGTCCAGGGTGATTCCTCTCTCTTCTACACATGTGCCACTGTTGCTGATACTATTCATTTTATATTACCTTGCACCTCATATTATTGCTAGATAATTTTTCCTGCTATTTTTTTTCCTGTCTTTTCTTACCTAGATTAGAAACTCTTAGAAGGTAACAGCTGTGTTTCAGAGCATTTATATCTCTGCTTCTGGCCTAGCATGGTGCCTTGGGGCATGATGACAGCTGAGTAAGACCAAGAGGGCATGTGTTAATTCTGCTCCTTCCCACTATGCTATGGATGGTCAATGACAATTGAGCAGTATTAATTTAAACGAACCCATGGCACTTGAGACCCATGGCACATTCTTATCAGGGGCTAGCATGGCACTCTGCTTCTCAGATTTCTGGCTGCTGATTTACTGACTTTAGCCAGCTAGTAAATTCCAGACGAGTCATATCTGGTACCGATTTTCCATCCTGAAATTACAATGCCTATAGTTGTTCAAACACTTCTGTCTGAAAAATCTCCTCCCATGTGCTTTATTCCTACTGAGAAGAAAATGCTGAATAACATATTTCAGCATGCCTTACTTATGGACAGTGAGTATGTGTGGAGAGGCAGGAAATGAGAGAAGCAGCTCACAATTCTAGGTTTAGTTGTGTCAGGACTACATGGGAAAACAAACCATATTTTTATCAAAACTAAGTTTGCTGTTCCTTGATATATGCAGAAGAGCAAAAAAGTATCAATAGTTCCATCTATCCAGAGGAAGAAAATAGAAGAAAACATTCACACGACAAATGAACCACGTGTACAACCAAATCCCCAGACCTGAGATGATCTCTGATTTACTGCAGGAAACAGGGGAGTCTCTCAATTCAACTATTGGTCTGGCTGGCGTGGTTTTAATTGAAAGCAGTTGCCCTCTCCCCACCCAGCCCCAAGAATGACTCATCACCTGCCCCTCAGGCCAAGTGTTTTACAAAATATTCTGCATCACCATGGCAACAGCCAAACATCTGCCCTCACTCGGGTGTGGTTAGACTGAATACTACCTTTTTTTTTTTTTTTGGTATCTGTTTGACTAGTTATAGATTTGAAATAATAATCACAGGAAGAGGCCATGTGGTACAAGAGAGCTGTCACTATAGCAGTGCAAGCAGCAAAACGAAAAGAAGGAGACCCAAAACAACACAATTAATTTTTTGTTACCAAAAATAAATAGGTAATAACTTTTTAACTCTGTTAACAAAACATATGTCTCTCCTGTGACATTAGCCACACATAACACCGAACTACCTGAGGAAGATGGGAAATAGAGATAATGATAGTTACTGAGGTTTTACTACGAGGCGCCTTAATCCTCACAGCATCACTTATTTTTATTCCTGTTTTACAGATGCAGAATCTGAGACACTCGGAGATGAAGGTTATACAACAGGTAAATTACAGAGCAAGGATTCAAACTCTGTAAGTCTGAGCTAAGGACCCACCCTCATAACCACTACATCTGATTACCACAGGTTACAGGAGAGGAAGATCCTCACGCGTTCTTCTGGTTGTGTTATTTGTTGGTTTCTTTTGCCAACTAAAGTTAAATTATTTCAAGGCTTTGAAGACTAAAACAGGATAGATTTCTAATTTGTCAGGTAACTGATAAACAAGCAAAAACTGAGGAAGTGGTAGAGTAGAGACCCAGCTGGTAGGATGGACATGTTCCACTCACAGATGCATGGAGAAAGTTCTGTTTGCTGACAATCAACCTAAATTCCTCCTTATGCTTGGCAGCATTACTGTTCCACACCCAAGGATTCCACCCAATTTGGCCAGGCATCTTACAAACCCCAGCCCACATCCCAAGGGGGCTTCTGCTGGGGATGGATCAGCACAACTCCACCGCCATGACTGGAAACACAACCCACAGAACCTATCCTACCAACAGAGGGCCATCGGGGACACCCATGACAACCTAATGCCCTGAAGTAACGTCCTCATTTGCCAGGACACCCCTCTCACTTCTTGAATGCTTGAACTCAAGACAGGGCTACTAGCTTTGGGTCCAGAGCCATAACTTGAGAAGATAAAAAGGGAGGCAATGACCACATTCATTTAATGCTCAGCTAAGAGATCTGGTTGAACCTAAATTCAAATGCCAACTGGGGATTAAATGGAATCACTTTTTTAGGCACTGAAGTAACTTAAGCATTCTGACATTGTTGGCTAGCAGTTTTCTTAGACCTAATTCAGATCATGAAGCAACTATGGGCTTAATGCTTTGTGCTGTGTCATAATGCAAAATGGCTATGCCACAGAAGCAAGGGCACTAACCTATTACTGTGAGACCTGTCCTGGAGAGGTCAGCAACCTGTGATTGCCAGAAATTCATCTCACCATTACAGTGCACACCCTACAGCAAGCCTGTCTGAGCTCATCACTCACCTCTGCAGTTGACTGCTTCTATGGACTGGGTAAGTTACTTTATTCTCTGCCCCTCAGTTTCATTACTCAAAATAGGGGGATAGTAATAGCTCCTACCTTTTTAGATGGTTCTGAGGATCAGGGACACTAACTCACACCAGGTGCTTCCTGGACACCCTGCCACATGTTTCAGTCTTAGATTTAAGAACTTTGTCGTTCAGTTGAGCTTACTTATTTCCATCTGAGCTCAGTCTGACCCCTGAGATATGCTTTGTTTGGAAGGTCAGTTTGTCTGCCAACTGGGAGTGTGTGCCTGGGCTCAGCCACTCAGTTGTGTCCAACTCTTGCTATTCTATGGACAGTAGCCTGAGAGGCTTCCCTGTCCATGGGATTCACCAGGCAAGAATACTGGACTGGGTTGCTATGCCCTCCTCAAGGGGATCTTCCCAACCCAGGGATAGAACCCTCGTCTCCTGCATCTTCTGCACTGGCAGGCGGATTCTTTACCATTGTGCAACCTGTGAAGCCTATGAATTGGGAGGACACTGTATAAGAAGTGGTCTTTTAAATTTTATCGACTTGTCTCTCTTTTGCTCATGATTAGTTTTTCTAAAGTATTTACAGCCAAAGGGGCCTCCCCAGAATATCGGAGCCCTAACAGGGCAATGTAAGAGCTGCAAGAGATGTGGATTTGATCCCTGGGTTGGGAAGATTCCCTGTAAAAGGAAATGGCAAACCACTCCAGTATTCTTTCTGGGAAAATCCCATGGACAGAGGCTCTTGACAGGCTACAGACTGTGGGGTCACAAAGAGTCAGACACAGCTGAGCACACACATACATACATTAACAGGGCAAAGTCTAGCACAGTTTCTTTTTAAAATCCTGTGATTCTGATCACAGTCCCAACCAAGCACCTGGATCAAGTTCAAAGGGCAGTGGAGTAGGGCAGGAGCAGAGGGGTCAGACGGATTTCAGAAAAACAAATCATAACGTTTCTTTGCTGTGAACCCACTAATGCAAGAATGGCCAGCTCTAAGGAATGGGACCCGATCCCCATTGTTTTAACTCACAACACCCTTCAGTGAGAGGGGTGCAAGCTGCCATCAACATTCTCACATTTCTTCAGAATTCCTACAAAGAATGGATCTAATGATAACGGTCTGGGGGATGATGCGGGAGGGCATGGGTACTTGCCTTGCGGTTTCATTTACAATAGCAAAAAGATTTGTTTTACTTAGCGGCATATTTACTTATTTACTTGCACTGCCACGGAGCAGGTACTCATGAGGAGAATGAGGGGCCAATGTCCCCCAAATTGCTCCTTGATTACTGCCACTTCTCTCGTTCCCCACTCTATGGCAAAGTGGCAAATTATTAATACATTAAGAATATGCATCAATTATGCCCATCAGCAGACGAATGGATGAGGAAGCTGTGGTACATTAATTCATTTCAATGTATGACAAAAACCACTGCAATGATGTAAAGTAATTAGCCTCCAACTAATAAAAATAAATGGAAAAAAAATTAAAAAAAAAGAATGTGCATCAATTATGCTTTAAGGGTATTTTGAGAATTTCCTATATTCCCACGCTCCCCTTCCCCACCAAGATCAATGAGGCATCCTGGAATACTTCAAAACTAGGTTTTGTCTACATGTATTAGAAAAGGGAAAAGGCAGGCCATAGAAATGCTATTTGACCAGAGACATTCTCCTGATATTAAGAACTTCCTTTTGAATTTTCAGCTAAATACCCCAATATAACAGGCATGTCTCATCCACTAGCTTGAAATGTTTCTCAAGAATGGGCCTAAAACTGCTAAAACTAGTAAGATTATGTATGCTCCAATTCAGTAACAGGAGTTCATGGGTGATGGCACTTTCAGTAACGTCGCTTTACTGGGCTTTTGCTTCCCAGCTCCTTGACACAGGAAGGGCTGGACACACAATAACTGTTACTGTTTCTAGGTGCGGGTGCTGGTTAAGATGTTCTGCATACCAGGTAGTGGCTAACTCAAATGTCTTGGAGCTGGTATATAACAAGACAGAGTCCCTGCGGTACATCCCCAACTCAGTGCTGCTTTATTGCCGCTGTGTAGGAAAAGCAGGGGATTTTTAGACATTCCCACATTTTCACAAGAAGCCAGAAATTCAGAGTGTTGTACAAAATCTCCTGAATTTTAAACTTGGCAAATTACTAAAATGTTTTTCAAGGACAGCATGGATGACCAAATAGGTAATTCACAACCTCTGACCATAGCAGACACCCTGGAACATTTGCACCTGACCTTTAAAGGTTTGGTGACCTTGGAGTACTCATGATATTATTTTAGTGTCCCATGTTATTATTTGCTTGGGTACCTAAAGGCTTGGCTATTATACATCCATTATCTCATTTCATCCCCCATAGTAACACTGATTTAGGGACTAGTACTATTTCCATCCCCAGATGAGAAAACTTAGTCTCAAAGAGTTTGAGTAACTTACCCAAGGTCCCAAAGCAAATCCACCTTGGGCATTTGTCACGGGGCAGCCGTGCCCCCCAGCATGGGGCTCTGCTAAGTCCTGGAACTCCACTGAGCCCACTCTCAGACTAGGGGTATTACTACATTCACATTCCATGTGGTAGGATGTTGACCACTCCAAATACAAAATTTATTTAATTCTTCTCCTTTAGTGAAAGAGTGTTAACAGCTTTGCAGTGTTATAGTTTTGCCAGTAAATATCTAAAACTAGTCATTCAAAAAGCTACTGTGAAGCAATTTCATGCCATGCATTCAAATGTCTGAACTTGTGAAATTTGGCATACAGAGTGCTATAGAGGCTGCCAAACACAAGGAGGAATAAGAGGAAAGGTAAAGCAGGAGCACTGCTGGATTTTTGTTTTCCCATGATAGTTGTGAGAACTAGAGACTGTAAAGGGGGTGGAAAAATCTCTGCGGAATTTTACCAGAGCCAGTTTCCTTTTTTTTTAAAATTACTTATAACAGTAAATAGTTACCAAGCAACTGTAACCAAGCTACTACATCGTGGTGAAAATACAATACACACACACGCGCGCGCGCGTGCACACACACATACACATAATATTTCCAATGAATGGCCCCTGATTCATTTTCTCCAATCCTAACTATCATTACCCACAGATCTGTAGTAGCTTTGATATCATCATTCCTTCCAGTGAACCAGAGGGAAAGAAAAAGTGGTGTGACTGTGGTATGTGAGAGAGAGAGAGAGAGGGAGAGAGAGAGAGAAATGGGCAAGACAGTTAGAAAGGGAGTCAAATATTTTGATCAATTATCCCAGCAGCAGGCTTAGTCACAATAGCTTAGGACCATCTGATAAATTTTAATGGGAATCACTATTATTTGGGGGAAAGTGATTAAAGACTGAGCGGCCTCTGCCATAAAGCAGTGGGGTGCAATGGTTACTCACAAGGGCTCTAGCACCAGACTGCCAGGTTTGGATTCCAATTTCTTTACTTACTAGCTAGGTTTTCTTTTCTTTTTTCTTTCCTTCTTTCTTCTTCTTCTTTTTTTTTTTTTTTTTGCCTTTTGGTCATGTCACAAGGCTTATGGGATCTTATTTCTCTGACCAAGGATTATACCAGGGCCCTCAGCAGTGAAAGCATGGCGTCCTAACCTCTAGGTCACCAGGGAATTCTCTAGCTAGGTTTTCTTGAATGCATTGCCTAAACTTGATAAGTTTTAATTCCCTATCTATAAATTGGAGTAATAATAGACTCTACATCATAGGGTTGTTGTGAGGATTAAACAAGTTTAAATAGATTAAAAATTTAGAACAGTGGATGGCACATAATGAGAACTCAACAAATATCAACTCTAATGTTATCACCTCTCCCAGTGAAAAACACTGGTAACTCAAAAATGCTGACCATTGGTGTTTCTCATCAAGGATGATGTCACCACTAGTCTGGGAAATTCACAAGTGAGATGTTGTTTTGTTAGGTTTTGGCTCGGTTGTCACAATGATTGGCAAGCACTGCCAACACTCAATGGGTAGGGTTAAGGTTGGGGTTAGATACTAGATGTTCTACAATTAATGGGCCAGCACAATGGTGAACTGCCTCACATCCTACACAGCTTTATATATCCTCCCAGTCTTCATGTAGGTTAAAAAAAAAAAAACTTTGATTATCTGAACCTGAAGCCTAATTCCATTTTACATATAAATGCAAAATATTTTTCTGCACAGCTTAAATATTACTAAGTTTTCCAGGAACACAACTATCATGTAAATCAAGGGAAGTTAAACTTCTTGTTGCTCAAACCCTTCCCTAAGAATAGTTGTTCAGACCCTTCCAAGGAATAGTTCACATTTTGCAAAATTAGATGACCAACAATAATTTAAGTCATCAGCATACCTGTGTCAGCCAGTATCTGTAGCTATTGGAATCACAGGGCTTCTATGTGTCCTTGGGAGATTCCAACTCCATCATGATGTCGTCCAAGGGAGCTACATCTAAGAAATTGCCTATTGGAAGCAGTTTTTGTTTTCAATTTTTTTGTTTTTTAGTGTATTATTATAAATTACTTCCTTTTTATTTCTCTTTTACATGACTATTTGAATATCAGATTCTTTTTTTTAGGTTATGCATATAGATGTTATGCATGCATGCATGCTAAGTCATTTCAGTCACGTCCGACTCTTTGTGACCTTATGGACTGTAGCCTGCCAGGCTCCTCTGTCCATGGGATTCTCTAGGCAAGAATACTGGAATGGGTTGCCGTTCCCTCCTCCAGGGGAAATTCCTGACCCAGGGACCAAACCCATCTCTCTTGTGTCTCCTGCATTGGTACGCAAGTTCTTTACCACTAGTGCCATCTGAGAAGCCCCTAGATGTTATATTATCTATGAATTTTGATTCAGGAGAGTAAAGGGAGTACAAGTATTTGTTATGAAGGGGAATGTTGGACCATAAGTGATGGAAGAACCATACTCACAGAGCCCACGATTTAAAGAGAATTCATTAACTGACAGATTATGTAAATAACAAATTCTTTAAATTAGTTGATAGATGTTAAGTA